ATAAGCCTAAAATTTTATGATGCTCTCAAAGTCTAAGTTTTCAATGGAAAAAATGAAAATACACTAAAAGCGAAACATGTAAAGAAGGAGAGTCCAAATATAACACTGCACACACACACACACACACACACACATACAGAAATGTTTTCCACACTTGCACTTACACACACACATAGGTTTTTTTTCATTTGTTTGGACTTGACATAATTTCTTACAGGCATTACTCTAACATTAACTGTGTGCACATGTTACTTGGAATTGGCACCAGTGTCACATCTCTTGGATGACACTAACACAGCGCGCCCGTATTCTCATCTAATTCTAAAATCACTAGCAAAATTCAACTCGGCTTCTGGGCCACGGTGTCCTTTTCTTCACAACTATTATTACTGAGTTCTTATGTTCTCACTCAAAACTGCAATTTTTAAGCCTACTGAATGTAACTGAAGCAGCGAAAGTTCTACCTAAATAGCCCATGAAATGATACTTTACATCTTGATGCTTTTATGGAAATTTTTCCCGTATCCCTTCTCTAGAGGGTATTATCTTAATTTGCTAATGTGTGGTTAACATAAACAGACCTGAAATTTTGACTTAAATATTATGGTCCATTTAAGAATGTTTGTGCAGACAAAAGGCGTGGTGAAGTGGTAAGATGTGACCCATGGGACAGTCCTCCAGAACATATGTTCTGAAGAGGTTCTAATCACAGCAAGAAGCTTCCTGTCACATGACGTTGAAAACTTCCGGGTCGGACATTTAGGAAGAATAAATCCTACACTGAAGAATATAATCCTAGACATTTTTTACAGTTGGCACCATTTTATTTCATTTCCTAGACTTACTTTTTTTCTCTTTTATGACCTAAACCTCAAAATCATACCTCCTACACTAATTTAATATGAAAGATAAGAACAGCTGCAGGCATTCCAGGCTAACCTGTACAGGATACAAAAATCAAAGATTTTTTTTTTTTACCTTTGATACACAAACAAAAGGTTCCCAAAGCTTATTTTCACTTACCAGGACATGCATTTCAATCCTGCCTATGTGAGTAAAGTGGATTCTTAACTACTAAAAACAGACAGTAGAACTGTATGAGCTACATCACTTTTGTCCCACCTCCCTTGTCTGTGCCAAAGACAGTGGGCAGCCACAACTGTCCTTGTTGCCATGGAAAATGGAAAATAAATCCCATTGCCTCAGAAGTGGGATGCATCTCAGATTTATGAAATACCCAACATCAGTCAATCTTTATATCAAGTTGTAACACAATTTGTTAAGACATGGTGAAAGATTTGAATCGTCTCCATCCCAATCTCTTATCTTGCCTAAAAATTTCAGGATTTTCAGGAAGTCTACCAAACTCAATCCTTTCCTGCTTAGTATTTATGTGCTAGTGCCATTGCCCAGCCATGAGACACAGGGGAACTGTTCACAGCTTTTGCGCATCTATCCTTGCTCAAGGTTTGTGCTTCGAAGTGCTCTTTTCCTTAGCAATTTAAAGAGTAGGATTACAATTTCATGATTTTGGCACTTCACAGAGCAATGCAATTTCTCCCACCTATGACCCCGCTTTTGCATTTACATGACACCTGAGGTCACGAAAGTTGGATATCTGAAATAATTCCACAAGATTTTGTGAGCAGAGACTGAAGCTAACAGTTAAAATGTATTTTATAGAAATAAAAAAATGAAGTATATTATAACCATGTTTCACTGTAAAAGATATTTTCTTTGAGTCTTTTAGATTTTTCCTTATCTTCAAATAAGTTTCTATATGTTTTATAACAAGGTCCATAAGGCCTTATATCTGTGAATTAGAAGTTATCTGAAACTTCTGTTCCAGAGGCATTTTCATTTAATTTAATTCTCCACATGCATTTTAATTTTTCTACATTATTGATGGTTGGAATTCACTTAAAAGATTCTGATAGCCTTTGTAGGTCTTTAACTACTATTGTTGGAAAACAACTTCATGCACAGGGAGTTTGTGGACAACCTGCAAAAAAGCATCCAAAGGAGCTTTTATGCATATCTGCTGATACTGTATTTAACAGAGTAGCCTGTACCATGTTCACACTGTCATGGATTTTTTTTTTTTTGCCCTTAACACTTATTCAGAATAAAATTTAATGTTTTCATGCACCTAAAATAATATATTGGTTATATTGTTTGTACACTCATATTCTTTTGAACTTGTTTGCCTAGAAAAATGAAATAGCAATAAAACATCAGGCTCATTTTATACATACATGCCCATTTTAAACTTGGAGGACAAATAATACCAGTAATTAATGACTGAGTAAAATTGGGGACATCTCTTAACCACCTGTATGACTCTTCATTTCTTTTTTTATTCACTTCCATGTATTTATTTTAAAAAATTTTTGAGCACTGATTATGTATGAAGTCCAATCTATGTGCCTGAATCCATCAACAAAAAACAAAGCAAGCAGAAGATTCTTGCTCTCTTATATTCTAACATGAGGAGACAGAAAGGAAAGAATAAACATAACAAACTGAAAATAAAGAGCAAGCTAAGGAGTTTGGTGCTGGAAGGGCAGACTGCAATTTTAAACAGGTTCGTCAGAATGGGAGTCACAGAGAAAGTAGGTGCAAAGGCGTGAAGAACATGAGCGTGGTACCCTGTGGGAATAACTGGGGGAAGAGTGTTCTGGAGGGCAAATAATTGGGGCAGGAGCTTGCCTGTTGTATTCAAGGAATAGTATGATGTTCGTATATTCAAAATAAAAAGGTAATAGAACTTGTTTCATTCAGTCTTCTATCCCTGGGCTACAGTTATCATGCACCGAATCATTCTCGCTTATAATAAACTAGTAATTGCTCATAAATATTATTTCAATTTTATATGCACTTGTTTACATTCACCACATTTCCATGCATTTTTTATTTACATTTTTTCGTTATATTGTAAGCTTCTTCAGGATAAGAAATGGGTCCCCTACTCATTATTTTTCTCTATTCTGTTTTCTAGACCCAAGAGACATTCAAAAAAATGTTATTAACTGTAGACAGGAAGAAAAAAGACTTAAGAATCTTAGTTTTAAAACTCCAGCCATGTGGCGCCTGGGTGGCTCAGTTGGTTGAATGTCTGCCTTCGGTTTGGGTCATGATCTCAGGGTCCTGGGATTGAGCTTTATGTTGGGCTCTCTGCTCAGCAAGGAGTCTGTTTATCCCTCTGTGCTTTCCCTCTCTCTCTCAAATAAATAAAATCTTAAAAAAAAAAAAACCTGCAGCCTTGTTTCATGAATCACAGTGGTCAAATCTTTTGGTCTTTGCCTTAGTTTCCTAAAGCACAATTGAAAACCAACTAATAAGTTGTTAAATACATGAAACATTGTATAAATGTGAATTAAAATATGGTTCTTACTTATATTCCACAAATATATGAATAAGAAATCAGAGAGATAAATGCAGAAATCCGAATACAGCTTTTCAGGAAAAAAAAAATCAGCTTAAAGAGCATTGAGAAAAAAATGCTTTAGATGGTGTGGCCAGGGATGACATTCTGTGACCTATTGACCTAGATCTTCAGCTCTGATGAAGCTCAATACTAGTTACCTTGATGGTACGGTGATTAGGCCCTTGGGAAAGCTTTGCCTTCCACATTGATCCACTTCATGCTTTGCCTTGTTCTAGAATCATGTCTCTCCTGACTCTTAACCTTGCCAACTTTTCATCTGAATCCCAAACTTGCAGTGAAATGATGAGTACAGTCCATAAATATTGTATTTTCTTAGTTCTAAGATGCCTCATAGATCACTGATGTCTCTCTGATTTGTGTGCTGATCTGACTAGGGATAAGCCCCAAAATTATTTTATTTAACATATATCATTCTAAACATTTTACTATTTCCAAATTGCCAAAAGAAGTATGGATAAATTTAGTAGACAGATTGCTAGTGAGAAATATTAAATGAGGTCATCATAGAATATTATTATTTCCTTTTTCACACAAAGCCAAGCTGCTTTGAGTCTACCTTTCTTATAGTCACAGACAATGGACAGATTTTATTTCATTTAGGGACATATAAAACATCCTCCCATTCAACCTACTATTGCAAATTGTACATTGTCATTCATTATTCATTCATTCCATATCTAATTATTTATTTTCAGCTATATACTTTGGATTGTGCTAGATGCTGGGAATATTAAGATAATTAAGACAGTCTCTCTGCCTTTTAGGAATTTAAGGCCTAGTGGTGGAGAAATAAAGGTTGATAGGCTACTTTGGCCAGGGCTTTCTAGAATATTTTGTTTCAAAGGTGTGGAAACCAAGGAAATGATCCATGCTTACCAAATTCATAAGACCTAATGTATAAACCAGTTGATTGCCTATTTGCAAATTTAAAGTTAATGATATTTCCTCAGACTAATGTGAATACTCATAATCACTATCCAGAGAAACCTTTCCCAATACCAGATTATAAGAGAAACCAAGTTGATATTCAGAAGGTTGCCTGGTGAGCATGGTATTAGAGTAAAGAAATCTGAATAGTCTTAAGCTATAGTCAGGCTATAGTAAATACTGAGGAACCAGCCCAACCCTTACAGCCTAAATTACCCCCACCATGACTCAACAGTCAGTTTCTCTACATATAATATCTCTGCTATTTTACTGTTCAGGCTAGCACAGCCAAATCTTGCTCCCCTCTCCCCTAAGCTTGTTGGATTTTTGTAAACACTTATTTTCTTCAGGCCAATTAATATATATATTTGTTTCTGTTTGAGTTAGTGCCATCCATTCACTTGGGCTAGGCAACGAAGGAATGGTGACATCAGCATGCTTTCTTGGGACTTATCTTAGGCAGCTGTCCCTGGCTTACCTCCCACTTTTTAATACAAATCCTTAGGCATGCTATGTATTTAACTATATTGGCAGAAAAATATGATCTGCAGTAAACTACTGCAACTAATACATTTAATGACTTTTAAATTTTCCAAAACTGACCTCTTTCCTTCTTTCTTTCTAGGTTGTAAAAATGATGATAATTGTTGTGGTGACATTTGCCATCTGCTGGCTGCCTTATCATATTTACTTCATCCTCACTGCAGTCTATCAACAGCTAAATAGGTGGAAATACATCCAGCAGGTCTACTTGGCCAGCTTTTGGCTGGCAATGAGCTCAACCATGTACAACCCCATCATCTACTGCTGTCTGAATAAAAGGTAGAAAGAAAATTACCAAGCCCAAGTTTCTTGTCACTCCTGGCTTAGCTGAAAGCATATAATTTTGTTCCAGCTTTTTGGTGCAAATTAAAAATGCAAAAGGAAGGAAAAATTTAAAAATTCACTGAGAGGAGTACAGAGCTTGATTTTTTTCTAGACTTCCTCCTACTTTCTGAAATATCCCACCTTAACAATTACGTCCTCAAAACAGTGAACTTAGAAGCTCTAACTGAGAAATTTTTATATGGCCTAAATTCTCCCTCCAGACCCTTCAGAATTTTGTCAGCTAAGAAAAAAAAAAAATCCATCATGACTGAAGGAAGTGAGTTGAATATGTGCTCAAGTCCTCAAAGAAATGAAGACATTTCATAAACATATACAGATAATTTTTATAAGATGGGGAGAAATGATGGCATATGTGAGTGGACTCTATTAAGAAGGATGTCTTGTAAATAGACTTCAAAATAGCAGATGTTGCCGTGAGGGTTATAGAATCAACAGTAAGGGGAGGAGAATTCCAATCCTCCTGCCTATACAATGAGGTCAGTGAGTAAGACAGGGTGCAGTCCCCATGGAAATGGGCTGTGAAGAAATTAAAGTGGTCAGGGCAAAGCTACTTTTACAGTAAAGTTTTTAAAAGGCGGTATTTGACTATAGTCAAATTTAAGACTGGAAAGGAAGGTAAAATGTTTCCAGATAAAAACACCTTGATTGTATGTATAAAACACACAGAGGGGCAGGGTTAAATTTCATAAGATTAGTAATTCCCTGAAGAAACCAATGTGTTTTGAGCACAACTAGAAATAGAACTTCATGTAAGTAACTGTGAGCCAAATCCTAAACTCTCTTTCCAGTTGGGCCTCCACTACACTGTGCCTAAGTTTGTTAAACACTTAATTCTCCCTTTTTTTTTCATTAATTGCATAAGCTATATATCAATTCAAGCCACCCCACAAGCAGTACATCTGTTTTTAATCAACTTCACTTAATGGTTTACAAAGCAAAGTCTTTTGTGCTTTCATATGCGATTAGATAAAAACCATCAAGATTAGTAATTAATTCTAACATTAAATGAGACTTTAATGTATAAATGTGTAATCATTTCCGAAAGAAGCTATTTTGAAATATGTCATTTTTAAGTGCCTTAACCCCCAAGCCTAATTCAATCACACTTCTGCAAACCTATAACATTACTGAAGAAATGTACACTGTTTCTTTGGCATAAGGATTACCTGACGCTGTGCTTTTACTCTTCGATGACTTGCTTCTCATTAATAGGAAACTAAAATTCAAACAAGAAAACTTAAAAGACTAGTACCAATACTGTGGCATACATTTAAGGGTTGGAAATCAAATTCAAAACCTGATTTTGCTTAATTGCCTTAAGTAGGGCTTTCTGTGGGAATTGAAGGAAATTTCCACTTGAAAACATGACTTTTTCTTTCTGTGGCCTGCTTCTCTTCAGATTTCGAGCTGGCTTCAAGAGAGCATTTCGCTGGTGTCCTTTCATTGAAGTTTCTAGCTATGATGAGCTGGAGCTCAAGACCACCAGGTTTCACCCCACCCGGCAAAGCAGCCTGTACACGGTGACCAGGATGGAGTCCATGACAGTGGTGTTTGAGCCCAGTGATGCAGACAACACCAAATCCAGTCAGAAGAAGAGAGCAACTCCAAGAGATCCAAGCTTCAGCGGCTGCTCCCGCAGGAATTCTAAATCTGCCTCCACCACGTCAAGTTTTATAAATTCGCCTGGCACCTCTGTGGATGAATATTCCTAAATTCATTTCCTGAAGTGAGAGAGTCGTGTGAGGGCCTCATGGTGTCAGCATAAGCCCCTATTCTCCTGTGTAGCAGTCCTGCCCTACCTACTCTCTGGAAACAGAGGGCAATTTTGTACAGCTGTGCTTCAACTGAGGAAGGTAGAAGAGAAATGTAACAAGGACACTATGAAGATATTTGTCCCCTCAAAAATAAAATGGGCTTTCCATTTATTCTTTGAAAATTCTAAATTATTACATGCAACAAACCAACAATAGATCTGAAAAATACTTCTAAGGTGTTACATTTTTCTCATCTAAAAGTTGCAATTATACATTTATGACACTAAAGTAACATAATGATTTTTCCAAGAGAGTAAAGAAACTTTAAAAACATCATGTTTTGAGTGAATAAAAACAAAATCCATATAAATGAAACATTTTCATCTGTAGCTATAAAACAGAAAAAAGAATAAATGACTAATTTTCCCATTGGAATGAAGGAAAATTGCCTCAAAGAGTAGGAATTAATGAAAATCTTTGCTCAAATGAACTTACTTTGTACAATGAAAAATTTTAAAGATTTAAAGATTTTCTCCATGAAATGTAACTGGAAAGGAAATCTAGCAAAATTATTAGACAGCTGTACATGTCATTCTCTTTATTATTTTCTCTGAGAAAATGGCTTCAAAAGAAAAAATAACCCTTTACTTTTTGACTATTATATAAAGTACCAAGTTAAGAAATAGTCAGTTAGGACCTTAAAAGGATGAAGCAAATTCCTATGATCTTTACTTTATTTTTCACAAATATTTAAAAATTTTTAGCAAACAGGCAGATTATAAAACATTAAAGATGCCTTCTAATGAAGAAGGGAAGAACCCCATTTGTCTCTAAAACTGGCTACCAATTTTTAGGCAAGAATTAAAGACAGTAATTCATAATTATGATGGCAGGCAGGAACATCTACCAGCTCCAAAGGAAGAAGTGTTTCTCCCCATAACTCAAGGAAAAAGCTTCAGATGGACATCGACTTTATCAATTGCATAGTGTCCTCCTAGCCTCTCCCTGCATTGAAAAAAAAGTAAGGACTAGGGGAAAGTATCAGAAAATATACTCAAATGCAAATCCTTAGAAAAGTAAGTCTACGTACCACCTATATGTACTAATAAACATGTGTAGAAAGGTGAATCAACTGTTAGAATAGAAAGCAGAACAAGAGTGGACACATGTGAACTAATACCAGGCAGACAAGAGTATAATACACACCTTTCCACAGAGAACTTTCCTTTTGTCTGTTTAGATAATTCAGACATCCCCCAGAAAGAAATGAGCTAATGGTCCTAAAGAAGCATCTGTTTACTATAAAAAAATTTACTGTCATATTTCTGAGAACCATAACACAAAAAAAGTACACTTTAAGTGTAGAATTCAGTGCTATAATCATCTTTCTTTGAATTAAAGATACTGTCAATTTTGCTCAAAAAAGCAGAAACCTGAGAATGTGTATGTACAATACAAACTTTTCAGGAAGTTTAAAATATTCAATTAGATTTTTTTAAAGCTATCCAGCTAACCTAATTACCTGTAATGCTTTACTGGATTCTTATGCTTCCATCAATATAGAACCAGCTATTGTTTTGAAGAACAAGATAAAAGCATTATTCAAAAGCAAATCATGGTCTATTGCTGCCACTACATTAAATTTTCCAATCCTCTTTCCTATTTGGGCCCAAAGCCAAAAATATCTAATTATTACAAAGTCCTAAAAAAAAAAATCTATACAACTCCACCATGTGTTTAAGCTGATTTCTTCTGATTGTACCAATAAACAGACACACAAATATACACTCACAGGTGTGTACATACAATCATTCTAATGTATGTAACAGCTTCAGAGAATTAAATTCAAAACTGAATGCTAAAATAGTAAGTTGTTATTACAGAGTTGCAACAAAAAGATCAACAAAATCTATGAAGCTTGTGTGCATGCTTTGGATAAGCAAATTTATCATTATTTAGTATTTAATTTTTGAATATAATTTTTTAAATGTTCATTCCAAAACATGTAAATGCTTATCATACAATGTTAAAGTGTCAAGAAAAAAATCTAATATTTTTTTATTGTTATGTTAATCACCATACATTACATCATTAGTTTTTGATGCAGTGTTCCACGATTCATTATTTGCATATAACACCCAGTGCTCCATGCCGAATGTGCCCTCTTTAATACCCATCACCAGGCTAACACATCCCCCCACCCCCCTCCCCTCTAGAACCCTCAGTTCGTTTTTCAGAGTCCATAGACTCTCATGGTTCATCTCCCCCTCCGAATCCCCCCCAATTCTTCCCCTCCTGCTATCTTCTTCTTCTTTTTTTTTTTTTTACATATAATGTATTATTTGTTTCAGAGATACAGATCTGTGATTCAACAGTCTTGCACAATTCACAGAGCTCACCATAGCACATACCCTCCCCAATGTCTATCACCCAGCCACCCCATCCCTCCCACCCACAACCACTCCAGCAACCCTCAGTTTATTGCCTGAGATTAAGAATTTCTCATATCAGTGAGGTCATATGATACATGTCTTTCTCTGATTAACTTATTTCACTCAGCATAATACCCTCCAGTTCAATCCACGTCATTGCAAATGGCAAGACTTCATTTTTTTGAGGGCTGCATAATATTCCATTGTATATATATATACCACCTCTTCTTTATCCATTCATCTGTCCATGGACATCTTGGCTTTTTCCACAGTTTGGCTATTGTGGATATTGCTCCTATAAACATCGGGGTGCACGTACCCCTTCGGATCCCTACATCTGTATCTTTGGGGTAAATACCCAGTAGTGCAATTGCTGGATTGTATGGTAGCTCTATTTTCAACTTTTTGAGGAACCTCCATACTGTTTTCCAAGTAGCTGCACCAACTTGCATTCCCACCAACAGTGTAGGAGGGTTCCCCTTTCTTTGCACCCCCGCCAACATCTGTCGTCTCCTGACTTGTTAATTTTAGCCACCTGACTGGTGTGAGGTGGTATCTCATTGAGATTTTGATTTGGATTTCCCTGATGCCGAGTGATGTTGAGCACTTTTTCATGTGTCTGTTGGCCATTTGGATGTCTTCTTTGGAAAAATGTCTGTTCATGTCTTCTGCCCATTTCTTGATTGGATCATTTGTTCTTTGGGTTTTGAGTTTAAGTTCTTTATAGATTTTGGATACTAGCCCTTTATCTGATATGTCATTTGCAAATATCTTCTCCCATTCTGTCGGTTGTCTTTTGGTTTTGTGGACTGTTTCTTTCACTGTGCAAAAGCTTTTTATCTTGATGAAGTCCCAATAGTTCATTTTTGCCCTTGTTTCCCTTGCCTTTGGTGATGTTTCTAGGAAGAAGTTGCTGTGGCTGAGGTCGAACAGGTTGCTGCCTGTGTTCTCCTTTAGGATTTGGATGGACTCCTGTCCCACATTTGGGTCTTTCAACCATTTTGAGTCTATTTTTGTATGTGGTGTAAGGAAAAGGTCCAGTTTCATTCTTCTGCATGTGGCTGTCCAATTTTCCCAACACCATTTGTTGAAGAGACTGTCTTTTTTCCATTGGACATTCTTTCCTGCTTTGTCGAAGATGAGTTGACCATAGAGTTGAGGGTCCATTTCTGGGCTCTCTATTCTGTTCCATTGATCTATGTGTTTGTTTTTGTGCCAGTACCATACTGTCTTGATGATGACAGCTTTGTAATAGAGCTTGAAGTCTGGAATTGTGATGCTGCCAGCTTTGCTTTTCTTTTTCAATATTCCTCTGGCCTATTCAGGGTCTTTTCTGGTTCCATACAAATTTTAGGATTATTTGTTCCATTTCTTTGAAAAAAGTGGATGGTATTTTGATGGGGATTGCATTGAATGTGTAGATTGCTCTAGGTAGCATTGACATCTTCACAATATTTGTTCTTCCAATCTATGAGCATGGAATGTTTTCCCATTTCTTTGTGTCTTCCTCAATTTCTTTCATGAGTATTTTATAGTTTTCAGAGTACAGATTCTTTGCCTCTTTGGTTAGATTTATTCCTGGGTATCTTATGGTTTTGGGTGCCATTGTAAATGGGATCAACTTCTTAATTTCTCTTTCTTCTGTCTTGTTGTTGGTGTATAGGAATGCAACTGATTTCTGTGCATTGATTTTATATCCTACCACTTTACTGAATTCCTGTATGAGTTCTAGCAGTTTTGGGGTGGAGTCTTTTGGGTTTTCCACATAAAGTATCATATCATCAGCAAATGGTGAAAGTTTGACTTCTTCTTTGCCAATTTGGATGCCTTTTATTTCTTTTTGTTGTCTGATTGCTGTGGCTAGGACTTCTAATACTATGTTGAATAGCAGTGGTGATAGTGGACATCCCTGCCATGTTCCTGACCTTAGGGGAAAAGCTCTCAGTTTTTCCCTAGTGAGAATGATATTCGCTGTGGGTTTTTCATAGATGACTTTTATGATTTGAGGTATGTACCCTCTATGCCTATACCCCGAAGAGTTTTGATCAAGAAAGGATGCTGTACTTGGTCAAATGCTTTTTCTGCATCTATTGAGAAGATCATATGTTTCTTGTTTTTTTCTTTTATTAATGTGTTGTATCACATTGATTGATTTGAGGATGTTGAACCAACCTTGCAGCCCAGGGATAAATCCCACTTGGTCGTGGTGAATAATCCTTTTAATGTACTATTGGATCCTATTGGCTAGTATTTTGGTGAGAAATTTTGCATCTGTGTTCATCAAGGATATTGGTCTGTAATTCTCCTTTTTGATGGGGTCTTTGTCTGGTTTGGGGACCAAGGTAATGGTGGCCTCATAAAATGAGTTTGGAAGTTTTCCTTCCATTTCTATTTTTTGGAACAGTTTCAGAAGAATAGGTATTAATTCTTCTTTTAATGTTTGGTAGAATTCCCCTGGGAAGCCATGTGGCCCTGGGCTTTTGTTTGTTGGGAGATTTTTGATGACTGCTTCGATTTCCTTAGTGGTTATTGGTCTGTTCAGGTTTTCTATTTCTTCCTGGTTCAGTTTTGGTAGTTGATACATCTCTGGGAATGCATCCATTTCTTCCAGATTATCTAATTTGCTGGCATAGAGTTGCTCATAATATGTTCTTATGATTGTATTTCTTTGGTGTTGGTTGTGATCTCTCCTCTTTCATTCATGATTTTGTTGATTTG